TAAAACAAACTGGACATGAAATTCTATTTCAAAATACCGAAATACTGGACAACACCAGCAATCATTACGTCAGAATGCACAGGGAAGCCATTCAAATCTCTATACAGAATTGTGATCACTATCATGAAATATACTGCCATGCATAAAACTTAAGCCTCTTTACAGTTTCCGGTTTCCCCATAATTCTAACCAATGTACTACTAGGCAAGCTTTCCATCAGAGTTATGTCCTCTAAGCACAAAGATGTATGTTGTGGTAAACCTCTTCCTTATATTTGCTTTTATGTGGACTGTACTCCAACTCCTTTTCTCATTTCTCAACTTTCTCCTTGTTTTTCATCCTGTAAACAATTCAGCTTGTTTTCATAATCTTTCTTATTTTCCCAATTTTCTTAATTGCCACCATTTGGCCCTCTGTCTCCTCAGGTCAACCACAAGTTTCTTTTGTTATTTTACCCTTTACTAGAAATAAAGGGCATCATTTTGTTTGGGCATCAGCCCAAACAAAACACATCCCACTGTGGGTTTCCAAGGACACAAAAACTTCAGCCAATCTCCTTTTACTTCTTTTGCATTCGTTCAGTGGTTCCCCCAAATCCATTCCTCTGATGCATTTATTTATATAAAACTGAAAAATGACACTGTACTCTACAAGGCAAATAACAGAGCTAACAGGAGACCGGGGGGGGGGGGAGGGATCCCAATTTAAAAGAACTGAGAGAGAGAATGAACCCTCTTTCATAAATATACTCTAAATGTTCCAGTTCCACTATTATTTGATAAAAATAATATTCAAATACCCTATCTCTTAGGTACCCTCAATCTGATTATTTATGACTAAACTATTGAAATAGCACACAGCACTATTGATGTGCATGGGCCTTACTGTGCAGGATCAAAAGTCAGGAAAGCCTTCTTAGGAGTTCACAATCTAAAACCTCACACAGGAAAGAAAGTAAAGAAGAAGTGAAGAGAAGCTGTTCATTTCATAGGTGGTCAGCAAGGTTCCCTCAAAGGTACCTCCCTGCATGAGCACAACTTTGCCCCCCACACACAGGGTTCCTTCTCCTCCATGAACCCACAGCGATCGTCTCAGCCCCTTTGGTTCTGGTTGCAACAGAACCCTGCATTGGGGGCTGAAGTCATGCACATATGGGGGCAAAGTCGAGCATGCGACGGGCAAAGGCCTGCCCAGCAGGGCTGAAAATTAGAGGGATCGTTGATGGTCAGGGAAAGCTAGTTAAGATTTTTCTAAGTTCTCACTGCTACATCTCTTGTCTCCTTTCTGTAAAAAAGCAATTATGTGCTGAGGGAGGAGCTGAGACAAGTTGGAACCCACCCCCTGCATAGTTTTCTTTTTGAACATCAACCCTGCCTGACCACATAATATGGCCCCATCCGGGAAAACACATAGGCTACCAGCTACTTATACCCAAGAGAGTAGGATTGTGACAGAACCTTGACCGATCTGCATAGTATCAGGGAAAAGAAGGCGTTGGGGGGGGAGGTAGGTAGACAGCCGATCCAGGAGAGTTCAAAGGAGGAGGGGCCTGGAGAGAGCTGAATTGAGACCTGACCTTAAAGTGTAAGAGAAGTTAGAATGTAACTGAAGATACAGGCTGCATTTGGGGCAGTTGGGCTGTAACTGGAAAAAGTTGATGTTGAAATCTGTTTCCTTAAAAGTTGTTACTTTATAATAAAGAGAATATCATTTGTTTCATTCTTTAACCTCTTGGTCTAGACTCTAGTGTGTTTAATGGCTGGAGTACAGACCTTTAAAGCAGCGGTCCCCAACCTTTTTGGGGCCGCGGACCTATTGGGGGGTACGGGCTCCGTGTGCAGGGGGTGGGGCACCTTCATGCTTGCGGGTGGGTGTGTCGCGCTCATGGGTGGGCTTGCCACGCTAACACGCAACATGTCCACCATGCGTGCGTGCGGAGGGGTAGAGATCCATCTCTGCAGCTTGCGGGTGGGTGTGTCGCGCTCGTGGGTGGGCTTGCCACACTAACACGCAACATGTCCACCATGCATGCGTGCGGAGGGGTAGAGATCGATCCCTGCGTCCCAGTTCCAGGAAGTCCACGGACCGGCACTGGGCTGTGCACCGGGGGGCTGGGGACCCCTACTTTAAAGGAAGGTTATTTGAAAACATGATAAGCCTGGGCTGAGGCTAGTCACAAAGATTATGTTCTAAAATAGAGCCAGTTGTAACTTTAAAATTACACATCATGTTACATGCTGCACTTCATAACAAGCAGAAAGCAAAATATGCTTCATGTTTAAAATAACTAATTTCCCCAACAAATTTGTATACATATATCCACTGTGATCTCGAGAGGAGAAAAAGCCTTCTACCATAATTTGGCTGAACTGATAACATACAATGGTCAAGAGAGACTTGCCCAAAGACAGAAAGGGTCCAGGGGTAGGCGCCCAGGCCCTCAGCCTGTTTGTATACTCTCCACCTTATTGGTAAATCACTAGTAGCAGTCATCACCACAAACACTGCTCAGAAGAAGAGCCTTCCCTTCGCTTGTGGGTGAAAGAGGGCTTGAGCCAAGGAAGAGACATTTCCTGTTTTGAATCGTAAAGAAAGGTGTTTTATGACCATCCCTTCTCTTTTTTTAAACCTTGCTCTTCACAACACTTTGCAAGTCTTTTAAAACTCAATTCCTCTGCCCAACACTGTAAAAAAGGGAAAAGAAAAAAGTAAGCCAAGAACTAAGAGGGAGAGATATTCAGGGAAATAAGAAAAGAGGACAAGTGAGTAAAGGAGGGAAGGGAAAAAGAGAGGAGGAGAGAAGGTTCCTGCCCCTCTATCAATATATCAACTTTGGTGGTGGTGGGATTTTAAAGGACAAAGGGAGGGTTAGTACCCCCAAAAAATCAGTAGAGAAAATGAATTGGTACAAAATTAAAGAGCTGTGTAGCCTGCTATAATAGCTGAAATAAAAGGAAATGAAGTTATATGAGTTCTAAATATTGTCCCACCAATATATATACCATGTGACCACTAAAAAATACAGCACATTAGAAGCTGAAAACAGACACAACACTAGGAAATTACTTTCCCTTCTCACCTCATTGTTTTAAATGGCATGTCGTATATGTCTGTCATATGTTGGTGAAAACTACTGGTGTGTATTATTCAGGCTTGCTGAGAAAGAATGCCTTTCCCTGTTTTGGAATAACTGTTTCTACCTGGACTATGACAGGCTGTATCTCTTTTAATGTAGTAAAGCTCAGTTGTTCATTCAGCCATTATTCATAAGCGCCACAAACCCAGAAAAATGGAAGCTAGGCCACAACACATGCCTATCCTGGTCTTAAACCAGCAGGCCCTTTAGCACCAAACAAATATAATACATCTTTATTCCATTTGAGAATAAAGGTCAAAAGGGGGAACACAACTGAGCCATATCCAAGCACTTTCAAAGTGCATTTAATTCAGTGGGATAGACTTAAGCATCTAGTTCACTAGCTCTGGACAAAGATTATACATGGCCATTGGTTTTTGCTGATGGTAGCTCTCCCCCCCCCCAATAACACATTATGATCTCTGTGTTTGGCTACCTTTTTCACCATTCAGTTTCTACCCTGTTTCTCTGAAAATAAGACCTAACCTGAAAATAAAACCTAGTATGATTTTTCAGAATGCTTGCAATATAAGCTCTACCACCAAAATAACCCCTAGTTAAGTGAAATCCCACCCTCCACAACTGTACAACAAGAAGATGTGACTGTATTTGAATAAACGTAGATAGTTGTACATAAAAAAAAATAAAGCATCCCCTGAAAATAAGCCCTACTGCTTTTTTGGAGCAAAGAAATAATAAGACCCTGTCTTATTTTTGGGGAAACACGGTATATTCATATTTCACAGATGTGATCCTCTGTACAGTTGCAACAAAGTTGCTGCCTTTCTTATGTAATAATATGCTGATTGTTGTATAGTTTTCTAAGGAGTAGAAAGCAGCTTTCAATTCTGTCTATGATTTCTGTTGTGCCTTTCTTATGTAATAATATGCTGATTGGTGTGTAGTTTTCTATGGAGTAGAAAACGGCTTTCAATTCTGACAATGATTTCTGTTGTTTAGAGAAAAACAACACTTACCTCCTGAGTTCTGGTTTGGTGTGAGCAGAATTACTGGTCCCTGCCTCTTCACAGTTTGCATTTTCCAGGTTTCCGTACCTAAATGAACAGGAAGACAGTGATTAAAAATAAAGATGGGAAACATCTACCTTGCAATTTTAAAATTTAATGAGAATTCACTTAAACAAGATGAGTCATTCAATTCAGAGGCAACAAGTGGGGAAAGATATCTGGCATAGCACTTTCCCTCACCGTCATTTCTGCCTGCTCTGTTCTATGTTGATCACTGTAAGGTAAACACAGACTTCAGTTCCAATCTCATCGCCCAGGAGTGTGACAGTTACCTCTATGGAACTGGTCCTTCTTTAGTTACCTAGTTATGTGCTAACAAGTTAAAAACGACATGTAGCAACCCTAATAGGGGTTTCGCAGTAAGTGAAATATTTAAGGAGCAGTTTTAACAGTTCCACACCCTCAGTGAGTTTCCATTGCCAAGCTAGGGTTTGAACACTGGTCTCCATCTCCAGAATCCCAGTCCATCATCCTGTCCATTGCACCACATTGGGTACAGGTCTTTCTTCAGAAGGTCCTAATTTGTGATTGTTATTTTAATTCTCACCTCTCTTTCTATCCTTTTATTTGGATGAACCTCCTACAGGCTTTAATGGACCTACTTTCAAGTGTTACCATTCAATCAGGTTTGAAGAACACCCCTGCTTAGATCTGTCTATCCTTCTGTCCATCCATCCATTTGTATACTGTATATGTGTGCATGTATAAGGCGGGACATCAGGAGGAGGGGCTGTACTGTATATATATGTGGAGTTTGTGTGGAGAAGTTAGGAGAGCTGAGAGAAGAAGCTGGTGTGGGAGTCTGTGTGTCAGACAGGGTACTACTGTGTGTCAGTCAGTGCCAACCTGATAGGTTCAGGTGTCTGTATGGTTAGCCAGAACTGATAGGTTCAGGGTCTGTGCTTTATGTAGAGTGTTCTGTGTGAACCAAACTGTGTGTATGTATGATTGAGACTAAGCCACGTTACTGTATCCTATTCAC